CCCCAAAACCCCAAAACCCCGTCCTTAAAAAGTTTTAGTGCTATAAGTATTACTTCTCTAAAATAATATAGTTGTTATTTTTCTAAAATGAATATTGAGATTGAGAATAGAGAGCTGAGAAGGCAGATGCAGAAAAAAGACTATGAGCTAGAAAGACTTAACGGATAACTAAATGATTTATAAGAGAAATTAGATAAGCTTACCATTACTTTCAAAGACCAAATCAAGGAATAAATCAAGAATCTCAATGAACATTATGATATTGAGAAGAATAAGTTGAAAACATAGATATCTGATTAAATAAGAGCAAATTAACAACTTAGAGAAAGTTAAAATACTGATTAGTATAGACTAAATCAAACAATTGATGATCTTAATAAACAACTAACTATATAGTAGCAAACTATATAATCAAAGTAGCAGATAATAAGTAATCTAGAATAAAAAGCAAATGCCTAAGATGAGAGAATAAAGAGTCTTAATAATGACAAAATAAATCTACTTGAGAAATATAACAAATTTTGTGATAAAAACTCTGATTTAGAGAAGAAAACTGCTAAATAACTTGAGCTTATTGAATCATTGTAGTCTAAATTAGATAAACTACCAATTAAAGATCAATAAATTTAGTCCATTCAAAAATCCTACAAAACTGAAGATGCTCAAACTGAACCACTTGCATTGGATGAAGAGGTCAAGCTGCTTTAGAGAAATCTCCAAGACCAAGATGTGGAGAACATTTCACTTCAACTTAAAATAAATGAAAAAAATGGGCTTATTTATGCAGTCAAATCACATAATATGGCTTTGATGGAGAGATTAGATCAGCTTGCTTTAAGAATTGAGTAGATGACTCATACAACTTTGCTAGCTGAAAAGACTAAGAATGAATTCTATGGTCTTTGCTAGGAATATCTCGACAAGAAAAAGGTAATAGTATAGGATAATACTAATCTACATGCCAATATAAAATAATATAAGAAAGAGATTAAGATTAAATCTCGTCACATACATTAACTAAACTCAAACATTGAAGATCTTAGAAAGATTATCCGAGATATAATGAATGAGTTGGATATAGAATATCATAACAGAGAGACAATTAAAGCCTAAAAAGATGAATACAAAAATAAAGTCAAACTTGCTAATTAGAGAATCAGATCACTAGCTTTAATGATGGATGACGTTGCTATCAAAGTGATAGACAAATTATTTAACAGTGAATTAGGGAATTAAATGAAAAGTTTGGAGGCTGTTGAGAGTTAGGTACAGATTCTCAATGAGAAAATAAAGATTAAAGAGGGGGAATTCAAGTCTGAATTAGCATATGCCAAAAAATTTATAGATTACTATAATGATTGAATGAAATCATACTATGATATTAGCTATTGAATCAAAATTAAAGATTTAATTAATTCGAGTACAATCTCTAAATTTACATAAATTGATAATCTAGGGGTTTTGGGGTTTTGGGGTTTTGGGG